TCCCCAGGGTCTAAAACTGGGAAACATTAGCCTTTCCTCTCAGTTCACGTCTGTGGTTTCTCCACAGTCTTGTCCCATCTCAGCACCACAGACTGCTCTAACACATCTGCCCCTACACAGCATTTTATTGCTTCCTTTCTTTCAACAGCAAAACTACACCATAGAAAACTGACTGCCAGCTTGTCTGGTGACCACATTATATGCAGTTTTCCTTGTAAAAGAAAAGTTAGAACTTGATTTTGGAGGATATGAAGGTAAACATGTGTTGGAACCAATGTTGATATGAAATGAACTTACGCATTAAAGCGAGCTCGTACCACCACTCGGCAGAAATTCCTGAATCTGTGCTCACGACCAACTATGAAAAGGGGTTTATCAAAATATGGATGATTCTCTCTCAGCTCCTCCTCCTGGACTTTCCTTTTGAAAAAAATGTAAATTATTAAGTGTTATGCATTAAAACAGGCAAAAATATCCCTTACACTTTGTTCTTTTTTTCATGTTGACTCTCAATACATTTTACTTCATACAGAGAATAGTTAACACAGAAAATGTGCACTCAGACTTTGACTGTTAAATACCTTTTCATTTCAGCTTGTTCCTTTTTTTCTTGGATCATCTTTATCTCACTGTCTTCTCTCTGTGCATTTCTGTATCTCACTGTGTTTGAGTGCTAGAAGCAAAATGATTCCTTTTAAATAAGGTCTGAGGGTTGTTGTTTTTTTTATGTTTCAGATGAAAGCAAGATATGGTATTTTACATAGAAATATTAAAATGAAAGGTCTTTATTTCCAATTGTACTGCACATCAACTCAGTCAAGCATATTGCACAGTATTTTCCATCTACAACATAAGGCTCCTTATTTTCATCAAGGTTAATTTCAGTTCTAATTTCATGCTCGAGGTTCCATCCAATCTAACTTTTAACTTTAAAAACAGAGGTTCTGTAAGCTCAGCCAATCTCTCTGAACTGGAATGAATATCATCAAAGTTACTAAGGGCAAAGACTGGGAAAGAAAAGGCTTTAGACACCCCTTAAGTTTCTCATGCCTGCTGCATGGCTGCCACGCTGCGGGGCATGCAGAACATACAGGCAGTGAATGCTGAGTGCAGGGACAGGGAGAGTGAGGGAGGATGCCATCTGAGATCATCCAGTGAAGGGTACAATCAGTATTACTATTCTGAGTTATGTGAGTCTTTGGAGCACTCATGGTGGGGTAATGCTGGGTGTTATCCTTACTACTGGACACTAACAAAGCCACATCTGCTTTAGTTACCTACAGTTTAAGTTCAACAAGACCAAGTGCTGGGTCCTGCAATTTGGCCACAACAACCCCATGGAGCACTAGAGGCTGGGGACAGAATGGCTGGAGAGCAGCCAGGCAGAAAGGTACTGATTGACAGCAGGCTGAACATGAGCCAGCAGTGTGCCCAGGTGGCCAAGGAGGCCAATGGCATCCTGGCCTGTATCAGGAATAGTGTGGCCAGCAGGACCAGGGAAGTGATTCTTCTCCTGTATGCAGTGCTGGTGAGGTCGCACCTCAAGTACTGTGTCCAGTTCTGGGCCCCTCAATTTAGGAAGGAAATTGAGGCGCTGAAGCAAGTCCAGAAAAAGGCAATGAGGCTTGTAAGGCTCTGAGTACAAGATCAGTGAGGAGTGGCTGAGGGAGCTGGGGAGAACTGGGAGAACAGGAGGCTCAGGGGAGACCTTATCGCTGTTTACAACTACCTGAAAGGAGGTTGTAGCCAGGTGGGGGTCGGGCTCTTCTCCCAAATAACTAGTGACAGGACAAGAGGACAGTCTTAAGCTGTGCCAGAGGAGATTTAGGTTGGACATTAGGAAGAAGTTCTTCACAGAAAAAGTGACTGGGCATTGGAATGGGCTACCCAGGAAGGTGGTGGATTCACCATACCTGGAGATGTTTAAGAAAAGACTAGATGTGGCACTTAATGACATGGTCTAGTTGACAAGGTGGCATTAGGTCATAGGCTGGACTTGATGATCTCAGAGGTCTTTTCCAACCTAATTGATTCTGTGATTCTGTGATTCTGTTTCTTTGAAGACTTTGATAGTTTGAATGAGAGGACTAATATTGCCCCTTGAACTTTCATCGTCACAGAGTTCCACAAAATATGGTATGAATTTGCAGAAATGAAAACGCACTTAACTGTATGAAACTACACCGCAGTGAAATTCATGATTACTATTTTCCCTTTTAGTCTTTGTCCTTTCATCTGACAGTTCTACTGCTTGAAAAATATCGCTAAACTTCCACCAGAAATTCTGAAGTGCTGTATTGCCAGCCTGAGTGATCTGTGTAATTCCAGAGTAAGCCTTTTTAAGGTGTCCTGGGTAGCAATTGTTGTGTTCCTAATGTAGTATCTACAGCTTCAGTGAATCTATCTCAGCAAGTGTTCCAAAACCAGTAAGTCTATCAGTGAAATAACCATGGCAATTATTTTGAGGATAATTCTAATGCAGTTACAGTATTTGTTATATGACTTCCTTTCAAGATTTCAAAAGATAAATTGTAAGCTACTTCATAAATAGAAATTAGTCTTACACAAGCATTTATTTGATAGTATGTAGTCTTACTTTTTACATTCCCAAAAATCAAAACCATCATTTCTATGAGGACTTACATCTTGAGTCAACGTTTCAAGAGATTTTCCTCTGCTGATTCTCTGGCTGTTGGAACCATGTCTCAGTGACCTGAAACAATAATAATCAATTTAACAATACATCTCAGGATGAAATTTTGACCTTTATAAGATGGCCATTATAAAGCACTGCTCTCCAGACACCCAATATCTCAAATTTTTATCATTTTTCTCTCGCTAACATCAGAAGCTTATATGTTCTTCAATTGTTTTCAATCTGGTCTAACATAAGCCAATTTCTTTCCTTCTGATCTTTAAACTGATAGCTTTGTAGTTGGCAAAGGGAATGACATTTGAAATAAAAAGGCATTTTTTCCATTTATACAGTACAATGAATTTCATTATGGTTACAATGAAGAATGTAGAATTCAGTTCTTTGTACAAGTAGGCAATTTTGGGTTTTCATGTCTTAAGTATTGCTCAAATTTAATTCTTTTTGTCATCTTTATTTTAAGAATAGTTTTAAAGCCATCTCTTTTGTCCATGTTTACCTGCGTTCTTGTCGTATATGATGCTGGACACTAAGTATTGACCTTTCCTTTGCTGGCTGCCCCTCAAATGATCCACTCAGCATGCGCTGTCTAGTGCAGGCCCTACAAAGAAATATAAATATGATGACAGAGAGTTTTCAGTATAAATGATAATTTCAGAGGTAGCATATTCAGAAAAGTCAGCTTTGCTTTGTGGGAACCAAGTTCTTCAATAATAACAGACAAAAATAATAAAAGAGCAATGTACTTTCCATGAAAACATGTCCAAAGCAATAGTCCTTGCTCTGCAACACAACCAGTCATCCAATGAACCTCCTTCCTGCCTTAGCAAGGACCATCTACAACTTTTTTATCCAGTTGGTTTAGAATTTATGGTCCCTCAAGAGTTCACAAAGTGTGAAAGGGCTGAAGCAATGCACTAATCCCCAGTAAAACCAGCTTCTCAGCAATAAAGAAGGGAATAGGACAAGTACAACAGCAGTTTTAGTCCCTTTCAGGGCTGTATGTACACATTTAAGACTTACAGCATAACTTTGAGTGTTCTAAATAACTGGAACCATATATGGTATGAAATGAAAAGCTGCATGTTGCTGATATCCTGCAAATGAAATGTCTGCTCTCTGTGAATGCATTCAACTTGCAGCATTTTGCTGTGTGGGTTTTCTCACTTGTTTGCTCACAGTTCATTTTGTTTTGGCAAACACATTTTACATTTTACACATTTTGGCAGAGATGAGTATTCGTTGGCTACTAAGTGTACTACAACTAAACAGAGCATGCATATCTTTATCTTGATGGCTACAATGGAATTGATTTGCTTAAGAAAAAGAGATGTTTCCACCGAAATAGCTCACGCAAATATTCTGATGCCTGAGAGATGGAATTTCAACACTGGAAACATATTTTAACATTCCAGGAATGCTTCAATTTTAAGTTTACACTGTCCAATCCTTACTGCTCATTTTGTGTTATGCAACCATCCAGAGAAACATAAGACCCAACTGGCAATATTCCATACTTTTTATTGAATAGAATCTCCTTTTTTTTAAAAAAAAAGATTAAAAAAATTATACACCATTTGAGTAACCACTCAATTTGCCAGTCTGCTGTAGGGCTTAGGTAAATGCTGGCCTTGACAGCATGGAATGAGCATGCTTGACTGCAAAAGGTGTACATGGCATGTTCTTTCCCCACTGTGACTTTGTTTTTCACTCTTCTTTTGGATATAAACACATAAATGATAGAAGTATGAATCCAAAGTGAGATCTGGAACAAAACCAAGAAGCTTAGAATGCTTATCAGTGTCATCACTGCTCGTCAGATTAGCATGTCAGAAAAAAATACATTGTGCTACAATTGTTATAAAAAGCATTAGGTTATACTACACTGAACTGAAGCATCATGACATTTAAGAAAATTACTACATGTCTTATAAAACACAGCTCATCTTAGGCAAATCATGAACATTTTAATGCCAATGGATTTTAAGCATTATATTATGGAGGATGATACCATATAACACTGTCAGAAAACAACAGAGATATCTGAATACCTGTGCAATTTTTGACTAAAAAAAGAAAAAAGCAAAAAATTATTTCCTAAAAATGGATTATATCTAAATCCATTAAAATGACAGTTCAGTTTTTCCTAGGAGAGACAATGGAAAGTTCTGTATAAAGGGTTCTCGCTGTGACAAAGAGATTAACTTATCTTTTTTTCCCCCCCTGTAAATATAAATTATTATGCTTTGCTTTTAACAGCTAGAAATTATTTTCTTGACATCAAAAAGTGACTTGCACATAAACTTTTCATATTCTTGTACACAATTACTTGAATACCAAGCTACATGAACTCTTAGTGTTCACAATAAAAGAGATTTTAAGTGCTCAAACAATAAATTCTTTACCTGACTAATGAACAAGATGGCTTATTTTATTATTAATTGTATAATACAATAGACTTAGCCCATATACTATGGGCATACTATGGCAGAACGGGCATGCATAAAGAGTAACTAACACCTGTAGAAAGACTTAGTATTGTTTATGATCTCTAAATTAGATTACTAAATCCATATTTAGAATTTACATCCATTGCCTTATTTTCAATACCTCTGGAAGCCCTGCAGCTCCTACTGAAGTGAACAGAGAAATAAGGAAATGCCAGTTGTATAGCAGAGAGATCAGAAATTTTTATCAAGTAATTGCAAAGAAATTTTTTTGTATTTCTAGAGAAAAAGATGCTGTCCTGAAAAGGCCATGGCTCCTTTTGACAGTCTCTCTCTGAGCATTCTCCACTTCATGGGAATGATTGCCTTAATCTTCCTTGTATTTCCAGATACTTTGTTATACTTTTTTATACTTTTGACTCAGAATCTGGATATTTTTCAGCTGCTTAGACACCTAGAGTTGCAGATCTTTGGGACTTTTGAAAAAGAAGGCAAGTGCCATGAAGTTTTCAGAATGGCATGGTTGCCAATTTAAAAGTCTGCAGCAGGATTTGCGTTCTCATTGCAGACGTACACTTACGTACTCACTCTCAGTGCCTCCATGTGATCCGTGTGTCCAGGCTTCCCTCATAACCAACAGAGATGTAGGACTCAATTAATTTGGTTGTACAGAGGTGTCCAGCACCACCTGCCATGCCTTGGAGTATCTTGCCTTGCTTCCAGCTGCTGCTCCATCAGGGTACAAGGTACAATAGTCCTATGAATTTCTGTATTACCTCTGTCTTTATGTCTTTGACATCCTCTGGCATCTCATACAGTACTGTATGTCCCTATGTGGACAACTTCATTGAATGCTTGGTCAATTAATCTAATGAATTATGTTCTGAAAGTATTAAAGTAACCATAAAGTGGGCATCTAAAGACAAAGCAGTCAGCTAAAGATCTCACTGGGTTCCACTATTTTTATTGCAGAACTTGGAACAGAGTCCAGCAGCTGCCAACTACATGCTCCAAATCTTCCTTGAAAAGCGCAAATACAACAAAATATCCTGAAAGAGAAAATGCAATTTTTTGGTTATTAGAAAGCAGCTGAAGATTACACAGAACAATATACTACTGGGATACCACATAGTTTGTGCCACATAGTTTGTATTACCTGTAACCTGTTAGGAGGTCCAAACTTCTGAAGTTCTTCAAACTATTTCCTGCTTTGGGATCCCTGAAAAATAAGTAGTGAACAGTGTTCAAGCAACAGTCTTTGACCTAATATAAAATGTTAAATGTTTTGATCAATACTTTAAAATACTATACCTTTAATCAGTATTCCGAGGTCTCTTGGAGAAGGTATGCATATGGCTCATGCTTGGACTTCTTAGTCAGGCATCCTTTCTTCAACAAGTGTTTACTCATCTTTTATTCTACTAGAACACCAATTTGGGTTTTTTCTTCGTTATTTGAACGAGTGAGTACTTATGTAGTAACTGTAGCAACTGCATAAATTACTGTGTGCTTTTGTTCTTGTTCTCTCTGAAATGTGCTCAAACTGAAGTCTTAGCAGTGTGGTACCCTGCAGCACAACACTCAGTTATCATCCTCATTCAGCACTGTTTCCACTCTCTATGACTCTCTAACCTTACTAAATCTTTCTCTGCTCTCATTATAATTCCATCTAACTTGGAATATATGTTTGTATATGTGCCAATTTAAGATTTATGGGGAATCCACCTGATAGATGTTGTAGTGTTTCTTTCATTTATAAATTTAATTCAATAAGGTACTTTTTGAATAGCAAGCAAAATGCACATTTTCACCATAGCTATACTACTGTTCTTTTTTTAAAGAAATATGAATTTGGCTGGTAAAATAAAATGGATTATTAATGCAACTTGTATAATCTATGATTTTTCTTTTCCATGTTTTTTCTTGTTTCCTTCCATATGCTACTAAAGAAAAACCAGTCACATCTTTAGTGTCTGCTCAGCCAGATGAGCTATGGTAGCAGAGTTTTTTCTTTAGCAATTTTTTACTCTGATTGCCATTCTTGCCTTGCTGTTTCAGCTTCTCCTCTCACAGATATTAGTATAATAACAATTTGGATTGGATTGTAGAAGAATTAATAAAAGCAATATAGAAGAAGAAACCTCAAGTGACCATCCAGTCTATCACCTCTCTCAAAATGGGATCAACGATAGCTACATTATTTGGGGCTAATGTTTGTTTAACTTCTTTTTCCATACCTGCAGTGTTGGAGACTCCATAGTCCAATAACTCTACTTCACAACTGTGCTTTGCGCTGATCCATAACATGGTGGTCAGTTGGCACAACCCCCATGGAACAGAGTAACTTCTTACCAATGGATATGTGCATTCCAGAATTTCCTTTTTTTGTCTTTGCATTAGGTAGGTGAAATCCAATCATGCCATATGCTTGTAGATATTGAGGAAGGTGGACTAAGTCTGGATTTTGCGCCTGACAACAACTAACATCAAATTATCTGGAACATTTGTTCTGAGAAATGCATGGTATCAAACCCTCAAAGTTATGAAGAAAGAAATCATACTCTTAAGAGGGAAAACATAAAATATATGCCAAGAAATTTGTTGCAAATGATTCAGAACTAAGTCACTTATTTAATGCAGGTAAATTTCTAATAAAGAATAGTATGTCTTCTAGGATCATAGAATCATAGAATCATTTAGGCTAGAAATGATATTAAAGATCAAGTTCAACTGTTAACCCAGTATTGCCAAGTCCACCACTAAAGCATGGCCCTAAGTGTCTTTTAAATACCTCCAGAGATGGCGACTCAACCACCTCCCTGGGCAGCCTATTACAGTGCTTGACCACCCTTTCCATGAAGACTTTTTTCCTAACATCCAGTCTAAACCTCCCCTGGTGCAACTTGAGGCCATTTCCTTTTGTCCAGTCACTTGTTGCCTGGTATAAGAGACTGAACCCCACTTCAGTACAATGTTCTGGCAGTTGTAGAGAATGATAAGGTCTCCTCTCGGCCTCCTTTTCTCCAGTTGAAACATCCCTAGTTCCCTCAGCTGCTCCTCATAAGACTTGTGCTCCAGAGCCTTCACCAGCTCCGCTGCCCTTTTCTGGACATGCTCCAGCACCTCAATGTCTTTCTTGTCATGAGGGGGCTAAAGCTGAACACAGGTTTCAAGGTGTGGCCTCACCAGTGCTGAGTACAGGGGGACAATCACTTCCCTGATCCTTCTGGCCACACTACTTCTCATACAATCCAGGATGCCACTGGTTTTTTGTCTGCCTGGACATAATGCTGGCTGTCAACCAGCACCCCTATGTCCTTTTCTGCTGGCAGCTTTCCAGCCACTCTGCCCCCAAACTGTAGCACTGCATGGGGTTGTTGTGACCCAAGTGCAGGACCCAGCACTTTGTCTTATGGAACTGTTGCCCTCAGCCCATCAATCCATCCTATCCATATCTCTCCACTGAGCCTTCCTGCCTTCCGGCAGATCAACACTCCTGCCCAAGTTGGTGTCATCAGTAAACTTACTGAGGTTGCACTTGATCCTCTTATCCAGGTTATTGATAAAGATATTGAACAAGGCTGGCCCCAATACTGAGCCCTGGGGAACACCACTGCTGACCAGCTGCCAGCTGGATGTAACTCCGTTCACTATCACTCTCTGGGCCCAGCCATCCAGACAGATTTCACCTAGTGAAGAGTGCGCCCATCCATACCATGGGAAGCCAGTTCCTTCAGGAGAATGTTGTGGGAAATGATGCCAAAGGATTTACTAAAGTCCAGGCAGACAACATCCACAGCCTCACCCTCATCTACAAAGTGGGTTACCTTGTCATAGAAGGAGATCAGGTTGGTCAAGCAGGACCTGCCTTTCACAAACACATGCTGGCTCGGGCTGATCCCTTGTTATTCTGTATGTCCTGCATGATGGCACTGATGATGATCTGCTCCATGATCTTCCACAAGGTCAGGCTAACAAGCCTGTAGTTCCCTGGATACTCCTTCTGGCCCTTCTTGTAGAACCAGACCAGGTGGAAGATGCAGAGTTGAGCTGACCCAGGGTAAACAAGACCTGGTCTGATCCAGGGTTAGCAACTGGGCAGCTGGAACACATGGCCTACAAAGTTCCCCTCTGACCAAATTCCTGTGATAAACTAATGAAAATGTTTGCTCAGTGTCTTGTGAAAGGTGTTTATACATTAGTGTTCAGAGAGATTTTATTCAGAGATAAACTTTATAACTTTCCTAGAAGCACAGAGAACCTTGTTTCTTGCTCATTCAGAAAAAAAAACAAACCACTGTATTTTGAAGAAATACTTGTAGGAACAAAGTCTGAATTAACTTCTAGCGTATTAGCTGTGCTGGTTTAAAGGTAAACCGGCAGGAGAAATGAACTCAGCTCAAAGGAGAGATTATAAGTCAGAATAACAATTTAATAATATAATACAATAAATACGATTATACAGACAAACAGTTGTTTTTAACTCACAAAACCCAAACATATAACCCACCACCCTGGGGCATGAACAAAGTGGTGTTCATTGGGCCCCCTGAGTCCAAAGCAAAAGGAGAGGGGAAAACCTGTTGGTGAGAGTGCTGTTGCAGTCTGGTCAAGAGTGGTGATTGCAGTCCAGTCGAGAGTGATGGTTGCAGTCTGGTTGAGAGTGGTGGTCTGCAGTCTTCCTCTGGATCCCATGAGTGGTTAAAAAAGTCCCAAGACTCCAAGATTATATATCCTCCAGTTCAGGCAGGAATGCCCAGTAGCTCCCTCAGGGTGGGGAGTTCCACAATGGGTGTGAGGACAGGAGCATCCTCCTATCTCACAGGCCTCTTAGCACCCAGTTTATAGCCTGAGGAGTCAGGCTGTGCTCTGGGCAGATGGTGTAAATGGTCTATTGATAACAGTTTCTGGGAAATGGCATGGAAGGCTATAGAATACACAGTTTTGGGTTGCACCCATCCAGTGATGAACTGGTCCCAGCTGTTCTAACTAGGACATTAGCAAATTAGTAGAATGGAATACTTAATTCAAGCAATTCTTTCTCTCCCTCCTTCTTCCCCCCACCCCTAATGCACTCATGGTAGTCTCAGTTTCAAACATAAGATAAATGCACTTCACTCAATTAGGTGTTCGTGAAACTTAAGATTCCACTTAAGCATGAGTTATGTTATTCCCTCAGGCCCAGGAAACACATCAGGCAAACCTTATCTACAACAGTGAAAATCCTATTGCACACCCTTAGCATCAGTTTGCAGTTTGACTATAGCATCAGCTGTAATGAAAAGCAAATAAAAAGGTTAGAGTATAGACAGTTAGAACAACTTTTTTAGAACAAAGATGCAAACCATTGGTAAAAGTACTCAGGACAGTAGTTACTACATCCTTAACTTGGTTCCCATGCCTAATTGCACAAAGACCTCAAGGAGGCCAGGGGAAGATTAGTTTCAAAACAAGGATATTCAGAAACTAGGTAGTTCCCCTGAAGTGCAGCAAGAAAGCTTCAGGAGAACAGACCCAAGACCTGCATTTTGCTGCTGTAACACTGAGACACCTAGGATTGAATGTATGAACTGTCTCTCTGGGTGGTCAGGGCTATTCATGTCCTTCTTCCTCTTCTTGGGGGAGAAGTCAAACTGCAGTTCATCATACAAAGGGAAAAACAAGGTTTGCATAGAGAAAGATGCATAAGAGAGACATAGAGGTATCTTTGTGTAATGCATAGTACAGTTGGTTATATTGAAACATTCACAATTTGACTAAAATATAAATTGACAAGGTTTAAAAAATAGAGGGGAAAAGGTCAGAGGTGGACTTAAGCTAGAACAGACTTAAATTCTCTTTCAGTGCAGCAATTTTGTCAAGCTGAAGTTGCCCATGGGTGGTTTTACTGTGTAGAGGCATTGCTTTAGATAAATGCTCCTTAATTCAGGTAGACAAAAATTAAGAAGATGATAGAAGCAATCTTTTCTGAAGGGACATCCTGATTTATCTCTTATTGTTCTTGGCATAAATGCCATTTGTTCTTTTCTCAGATATTCTGAATAGCTGAGAGTAACCTAATTTTATGAAGGAGTTTATGTAATTTACAACTATAGCAAAAATTAGAAAAAGTCTTGAGGGTTTGAATTTTCCCGTGTTACTTAAACTGAATCTAAAATTTCAGATGTAAATCTTATCACTTCCTCTGTTTGTAAAACTCACCTGCATCAACAGTGGCAACACTGTCATCAACATGGAAACACTGTCAGTGCTCAGGACCAGTCAGACCCTCACTGGCAATGCTCTCTATCAGCATGCCCACCAGATATGCCACGAACACAGTTTTTTTATGCTGAAACAGATGCATTGTAAATGTCATAGATCAGAACTTATTTAACAATTTTGAGGCAAACCCAAGGAACAATAAACACTATTTGTTCCTTTTGCTCAGGAGGAGAATAAGACTGCTTCTTTGTAAATGACTTACAAGCATCCCAAGAAAGCATTAGAGGGCACGTGATCCCACGTTTTTCTTACTTCACACAAGTTCCCCCCTTTCTCTGTGTTTCTCAAAGTTCATTGCTGATGAACCAGGAAATAGATGAGAAAGAGCAGTAAATGCAGATTAAATTAATAGATTAAATAGATTAATTAAAAATAAAATAATAGATTAGTAAATGAAAACTTTCTTCTTCTTCCTCAGAAACTTTTCTTCAGAGGAATTTGGGTGAATTGGTGAGAAGTCCTTCTAGACACAAGATTTTGGCAGAAGTCATGATCTGTAGGACCAAGTGGAATTCAGTAGGCTTGAAACTGGAAGGACTGATTTCTGATCCTGTCCTGGTATGTCTGA